CCCCAAAACCCCAAAACCCCAAAACCCCAAGAAGGAATAGTTTAGCTGAAATTAGAAAATTTATCCTTCTGGCTCTTGTACTGCCCAAATCCCCAATTTTTCTTAAATTCTTCGTAGATTTTTGGGTCTGAGACATCTGGGATCTGGATCTCGCTCTTGTCAGGGATTTCCTCGATTTCTCGGATCGTGTGTAATTGCTTAGTAGAGTTATTGGTAAAGACATTTTGAGAGTTTTGGGAATTAGCTGAAGACATATTCTGAGAATTTTCTGAAGGAGGGTTCTCTTGAGTTGCATAATTGTTGATGCCAACATTCTCATTGTCCCTATTGGGTAAGATAGAAAATACCTATCATAAATATTCTTGGAATGGATAATTCTGTCAGATGTCATAGACTGTGCAGCCTAAAGAAGTCAGGATGATTTAAACATTTTTTGAAATTGGTCTTACCAGTGTCTTTCTTTTTACTTCGATTGTTTCATCTGGTTTGATTACTTTCATCTTTTTCTTCAGACGAATAGTAATTTCTGATAATCAAACAATAAACTCTATTATTGTCTGCGCAATATTTATGACTAAAATGTTACACAACCCAATGAGAGACTTACATAAATAAATCATTGAATGATCTACCATTTTCAAACTCGGGCCATAATAAAGACTAGCAGGAATTAGCAACAGATATCAGATCTCATTGAACACTTCAAGAATGTTATCTTTCTTAGTAGTAAAAGCTTGAGTTTGCAATATAGCCAAAATATAAAGCAGCTGAATCAGAACCAGAATGGTCAGAATAAGAGCATTGTTTAGGTAATCTAGCATAAAAATAACTCCGACAAAAGCAGTTCTTCTAATAAACCATAAAATGATATAGGATCTTGCCAATTTATCCTTTCTTACACCAACGAAATACTCAATTGTGAAGCTTGTATCGACTTGTTCTTCAGCAGGAATCTTTCTTAGGCAGAAATAGGCACAGAGTGCAACTGTGAAAATAAGCACTCCTGAGAAAGCTATCGAAATCAGATAAGATAAAAATCCTTTAGAAACTCTTTTATAGTCTCTTATTTCAGAGAATGCACAGATAGCAATGAAGATATAAGCCAACATTATTATTCGAATTGCTAATCTGAACAAGACTTTCAACATTTTCTTAGCAAAATCTGGGTATTTAGGCTTCCAAAAGAACAAAAATGACACTCCAGTGAGTAAAGACAGAACAGAAGATACCCAGACTAGATTATAACAGTTCACTATAGCACTTCCAGATTTTATTCCTATTAATGGTAAATAGCTGTTCTCTTGAGAATAGTCTAGGAAAGAGAACATTGATCTTCAACCAAAGAATACCCAATCATTTGGAAGTTCTTTAAAAGTAGCCAGAATGAATTTAAAATTTCTTAGGAATCCAACTCCATCGTTGCCCATTTTATCTCCTAGCAGAGGAAGAAGGTATAGCATTTGGATGTGGAATATAGTTCTAAATATGCTGATATATGAATGGTTGTACTTCAATATCATAAAAATATTCAGTAAAAGACCTACTCCACTTACAATTGCATAGAAGTAGCTTATCTGTTTAGCTCTAGTGGGTATAGGATTTATTTCACATTTCCTTTGCTCTTCATTTGGAGAATAACTAAGAGGACATTTATTGCATGTGTCTTTAGAGCCAGTCGATCCTCCAATACAGATATAACCAGATTCAATCTTTGATCAATCAGAAGAGCATCCATCGTTGCTTGAAGTATTAGCATCATCTCATAATTCATTACCTACTCTGAGACCATCACCACAGGATGGCACACAATATTCAGGATTAGATGAATCATTTTGAACATACCCTGCTGTTCATTGCTCTCAGACATCAGCTGTTGTAGGTGTCCCGTACTTACAAACCCATCCAGATTCAACAGTTGTTCAATCAGCAGCTCATCCATCACCACTAATAGTGTTTCCATCATCGCATTTCTCTGTTCCTGCCTCAAACCCATCACCTCACAGAGTAACACAAACCTCAGGATTTGTTGGGTTATTTTGATAAAATCCATCTTGTCATTTTGTTCATGTATCTTGACTAGTTGTAGATCCTCCAGATCAAACCCAACCGGCATCAACACTTGTACAGTCTGCTGCTCAGCCATCATTTGCAATAGTGTTGCCATCATCACATTTCTCTGCCCCAGCTTCTAACCCATCGCCACAAGTAGTTACACATGTTTCAGGATTAGTCGCATCATTTTGATAAAAACCTGCAGTTCACTGGGTGCATGTATCAGAAGAAGTAGGACTTCCTCCAATTCAAACCCAGCCAGCTTCAACTGTACTACAGTCTGCAGCTCACCCATCGCTGCCACTTATATTGCCATCATCTCATTTTTCAGTTCCTGCTTCGAATCCATCTCCACAAGTCGTCACACAAGTAGTTGGATTAGCTGCATTATTCTGAGTGTATCCATCCGCTCATTTATATCACTCATCTTCTGATGTTGTAGATCCTCCTGATCACACCCAGCCAGCTTCAACTGTAGTTCAGTCAGCTGCTCAGCCATCACCAGCTACTGTATTGCCATCATCGCACTTCTCTGTGCCTGCTTCAAGCCCATCTCCTCACTGGGGGACACAGGTAGTAGGATTACTTGCATCATTTTGGTAAAACCCAGCTGTTCATTGAGTTCATGTGTCTGCAGTGGTGGTTGTTCCACCTGTTCAGACCCACCCTGCTGTGATTGAGAGTCAGTCAGAGCTTCATCCAGTGGCTCCGGAGATATCTCCGTTATCTCATTTCTCACTCCCAGCACGCTTTGAGTCACCTCATTGAGGGACACAAGCTGTTGGATATGTAGCATCATTTTGATAAAATCCACTTGTTCATTGAGTGCATACATCACCACTTGAAAAGGTGGAGTTTGCACAAACCCAGCCAGATTCAACAGCACTTCAATCTGCAGCACAGCCATCTGATCCATTAGTGTTGCCATCATCTCATTTTTCGCTTCCAACCTGCATTTTATCACCTCATGTCGAAACTCATACTTGTGTGGCTGGGACATTGTTTGCTGTGTATCCAGGCTCTCAAAATGTGCATGAATCAGATGATGAGGTAGTTCCTCCATTACATATCCAATTGCTCTCAATCGTGCAAGTTCCAGTTCAGCCATCACCATTCCTTACATTATTATCATCTCAGGTTTCAGATCCAGCTCTCTTACCATCACCTCAATGAGTCTCGCAAGCATTCTTTGCTGAATTCGGATAAAAACCAGCAGGGCATTGTGTTCATGTGTCTTGGGTTGTTGGGTTTCCATTGTGTCATTCCCAACCTGAATCAATTGCACAAGTAGAGCTACATCCATCAACTGTAGCTAATGTGTTCCCGTCGTCACATTCTTCAGTGCCTGCTCTTTTTCCATCTCCACATACAGTAACTCAAGCATTTTTGGCAGCATTTGGAGAATATCCAGCAGCTCATTGGGTTCATGTATCCTGAGCTGTGGGGGTTCCATCATGTCACTCCCATCCTGAATCAATTGTACAAGTTGCACTACATCCATCAGTAGTCCCTGATGTATTTCCATCATCTCACTCTTCTAAACCTGCTTTCTTTGAATCCCCACATGTGGTAACACAAGCATTCTTTGCAGCATTTGGAGAAAATCCAGCAGCACATTGAGTGCAGGTATCTTGTGTAGTAGGGTTACCATTATGTCATTCCCATCCAGAATCAATAGTTCATGAAGCTGAGCATCCATCAGTAGTGCCAGAGGTATTTGCATCATCACATTCTTCTGAACCAGCTCTTTTACCGTCACCTCAAGTAGTAACACATGCATCTTTGGCAGCATTTGGAGCATACCCCGCAGCTCATTGAGTGCATGTGTCTTGGGCTGTGGGAGTCCCACCATGTCATTCCCAACCAGAGTCTATTGCTCATAATGAAGTGCAGCCATCTACAGTAGCTACTATATTTCCATCATCGCATTCTTCACTACCTGCTCTTTTACTATCTCCACAGACTGTTTCTCAAACTGGCCTTCCAGCAGAAGTAGTCTTTGAATAGCCATCTGGGCAATTTATTGTTAACTGCATTGGGGAACTTACATAAGCTTTGTAGTATAAATTTGTACCAGGAACTGTAGTCATTGCAACAGAGGTATAACTCCAAGATAAAACAACTTTTGCAGTTGCAGTATTTTCAACAAAATTTATTTGCCCATCATACATTGTATTCAAAGTTGATGAAAATGTATTTGTGTTTGTCCCAATGCTAGCGCTTACTATGCTCGATCCACCTAAGCTCAAGTCAGCAGTGTCGTCTGCTTCTAATTGTAATGTGATCGATTCAGTAGATGGTCCTTTGAGCTTGAAGTACATCTTAGCACTCACAGAATCACTGGTAGATCCGAATAAATTTCCACTACCATAGTCAATATTGAGATCGCCCCTAATCTCAGCATGTTGTACTCCTCCGCTATAAGTAGTACCAGAGTAATACTCAACAAGAACTCCTCCTTGAGTATATTTAAACACATTGATAGTGATTTTTCCAGGCCTCGTTACAGAGATCGTGGATGTATACGTTCCATCTCCATTATCAGTCATTGAAGAAGTAGAACTTGAGTCCAGAACTTGCTCTTGCCCGCCAACTGCCGTGCAAGTAAGTCCAGGAGCTGAAACAGTACACTCATTATTGAAACTAATCTCATAAAGTTGTCCAGCTCCATCAGTATCTGTAGCAGTTACCGTTATGGTATCTGAAGTAGTAATGGTTGCTGGTGTTGAAGCTAAATGATAAAGCAAACTGAAATACTAGCACTAGCTGCAAGTTCACGGTGTCCAATATTTTCCTTATGAATCAACTCCTGACTGTTGTGTCTCAAAACTTCAATCCCATCTTTCTGGCCAACTTTTGGCACAGCCCCGTTTATCAGGAAGACCATAATTATTATGAAGCTCATAATTTTAAATCTTACCGAACTACTTGGAATAACCTGAAAGAAGGATTTTAAAACTTTGATAATGAATTTGTAAATAAAAACACTAAGAATAAAGAGCTAGTAATAAAATTCAACATGAAAAGACAACTGAGATACGATTTAAAATAAAAATTACAGTAAATAAATGTAAGAAAATGCAGGACAATATCAAAATAGCCTCTTCACATAAAATTAAAGAGTACAATTTGTACTTTACAGTCGGACATATTAAAAATGTGAAAATCCAGATCTGAAAGGTACTTAAAAACTCAAAACATAAAATACAAGACATTCAAAAATTTACCATTTCTAAATAATTTATTTTATAAATTATGAATTTTTCAAAAGGAATTATTTGATACGGGGTTTTGGGGTTTTGGGGTTTTGGGG